GGCAGCCTCACCTCTACTAGGGTGCTGGATTTTTCAACCCCCCCATATTAAATATCTGCAAAGGCTATTATATATACATCCACAATAAGTAGCCTAAATTAGATCTAACACCTATAGCTATATAGGAAAACTTTATAACTGAGATTTTATTTACTTGACTGACACAGTAGAAATCGTCTACCTATGTCATAGTGCATTTCATCTCTCTCTTAAATGTTCTTAAACTGAAGGGGATCTTATGGGTTAGACTTGCTGGATGGGTTTTTTTCAGGGAATTTGTAAAAATTGTATCCTCCTAAGTAAAACATCAGTTTCCAGAGTAAAAAAGTATGAATACGAAAGCAACTCTAAGAAAACTACACCAAAGAAAACATATACAAAGCAGGTAAGCTTTCCATGCAATTCAGTGAGTTCTATTAAATTTTTGCTTCCTGTAAAATACAGAAATGGTAGCATATTGCTTAGGGTGATCAAGTCTTTTCAGGAGACTTTCAATAGCAAATGGCAAATCACTTCTACAAATTTCAGTGGAGGGCTGAAATTCAGTTTTGAAAAATTTGATTGCTTGACCAATTTGCAAACTGTATATTCTAAGAAAAAGAGTGGGCTATGCTTGAGCTAAATTCCAGCGTTCAAATAATAAGGCTCCATAAAAAACCACAAATGTAAACAAACATAAGTTGCTCACATAAAACACTTATAAAAAATGTGAAACAGAAATGTGTTTTAAGGATTTACTAACAAGTACAGTTCTTCACGAAAGTCCAAAGGACACTTGTTTTTTATAAAGACATATATATGTGTTACACATATATGCATGAAATCTCTTTTCTTACTTGTTCAGTCGTTCTACTCTATGGCAATATTTTCTCTGAATTGTTTCAAGAGAAAACAGAAAATATGAAAATACGTAGCTCAGTTTTCAAAGTGTCTCAGAGATTTTGTTTTCATCTCTGGCAGGGAAAAAAAAACATTCTCACTTTCATCAGCTTTTGTTTTGAGGAACTACATTATATGACTGTGGGAAATTTGAAAATCTGAAATACGTTAATAGATGCTTAAAATGATCAGAGATGGAAGATCTCAAGGATAATGCAGGCATCTAATTGCCCTCAGTACAAAAGGAGGTGACACACTGATGGATCTGGCACAGAAGGAACAAGCACCTCAGCCAGAGGGATGGAGCAGTATAGAACATGACTTAGCTCCTTATGCAATTTATGATGAAATTTCAATATTCAGCAAGCTGAGTAATGAACCGCTCAGAGTCTGCCAGAGGGAAACTCTGTGGCACGGAAGAGTTCCCTAATTTTGTCCTACTTCATGGTCTAAGCATTTTATTCAGCTTTATCAGAAGCCATTGATTCTCCCTTTGATGTACAGCCAAGAACCTGTTCCTGAAGAGAATGTACTCCAGCTTTTTTGGAAGAATTCCTAGTGAATATAGTCCCCTAACCCTCTAAAAAATGACTACCGATCAAGGATATGACAAAACTTACTTTGGGCATTCTGATGGGGCCCAGCTGTGAGACAGGTAGGCACAGAAACGATGAACAATATTTAAGCAGTGGTGTTTCCTCACATGCCCAAATAAATTCTTAAAAGGTTAGGAAATGGTCCTGTGGAAGACCAGAGCTTTTGTGTCCCTTCAGTCGAGCAAGACTTGTCACAATCAGAGCTTTGGATAGAGCAGTTAGTTCTGGCTAATCCAATCTCTTCTGAACAAACTGGCACATCTACTACTACAATCTCCTCTGAACATATCGGCACATGTACAGGCAAACTACAGTACAGCAATACCACTTTGTTATCACAGAAACTGAGTGCCGGATTCTTTCCTGCCTACTCAGAGGTGCCTCTCACCAAGCTTGATCAGTGTGAGCTATGGAGCTATACAAGTGTAAGACACAGTGATTCCCATTATGGATCTAGGCTGCATAATTCTGTGCATTACTTTCTGGATCCAAATTTCTATGTCAAGAAATAGGAAGTCTTTAAGGACTGAAAAATGAGCCACATGGAGCTTCATGGTACAGCTGGATACACAACTCCTTACGGGCCAACTGTCAAATACGCCAGATGACTGCAGAAAGCAAAATTGAAGGCAGAAATAACAGCCCTTTAGCATGTTCCTAAAACCTGATTTCAAAGGCACGATTTTAAGACATACAGGAAGACTCCATGAAACTACTATACCATGGAGTTAAAGCTAAGATCAATTTTCCTTGTATCTCCACAACAAAGAGCACTATAACTACTTATTATGTCTATCTGCAGTACTTTTGAGATGTTAGACAGAGCAAAAAAAACCACTGTAAGCTATTTTAGACTGACTAAAATTGCAAATATGGACTACTGCTCCATTACTGATTTTAGATGTTTGGGTACAAGGTAGCAAATACTAACAAGAAAATGCTTTTTAGATATTTTGAGTAAATTATTTTTAAGCAGAAAAAAATAATCTAACTTCCCAATACTAAAATATGCTGATTACAATCAGTCCAGTTTGATTATTCTTTGAAACGGAAAAGCATCTGAATAATAAACCTATGTGTCACCAGACAACAGTGACATCACTGAAGGATGTGTATTATTCTACTTCTACTGGAGACTTAGAGGTAGGATTTCACTTTGAATACTGACAGTATTTAGAATAAATGCAACTGATTAAAGGATTGTTTTAAAAAGCTCTTTACCAATAAAAGCTTAGTAATAACAGCTACAAGGCCTGATTTTAGTTTGTGTTCTGCCAGGAAATCTTGTTTAAAACAATTATGCAGTAGCTTAAATAAAATAAAGATGGCAAAATCTTCAAATTGCCCTGTATCAGGAAGGAATTTTAAAAGCACAAAATTAATTACTTTGAATTAAAGCAGGTAAGTCTGAAAAGCTTAGCTTCACAGCAGCCATATATATATGAAAAGAAGTATTTTTAAGCAAGCCTCTTCTGCTCCCACAGACTCCAGAAGACTCTCACAAGTTGGATACTTTTTTTCCTTAACACATATTATTCCACTACATAGCTCTTTATCCTCCAATTTTTTGTATCACTACACTAAGTCAAAAGGAATATTCTCAAATCTGAACGAGCACTGGAAATTCAGCACACCAGCAAGACTGGTTTTTGACTTCACTTAACATTTGTGATAGTTCTACCCCCTCCCACAATGATTCATTATTTTTAAAACTAACAAAAAACTATTCTTTTAATATGTATGGGAGAACCAACAACCCAGCACAAACAATATTAGACTATTTTTGATTTCCTTTTTAAAGCAATTGTTAAGTCTATGAACATCTATCTATCTGTAAGCTTCTGATGATATCTTTTGGACAACAGTATTTCAAGTATTTCTTACAATGTTTTTAGTTGAAAGGCTAGTACTGTTAAACTCTCATATGTAAAATGTTTCTGGTGCAAATCACAGATGTCAAAAAATTGCATGAAATCTCCTGTTGTTCTAGGTATGAATTTACTGCACACAGAAATTAGTAGTCAAAATATTGAACTTTTCCAACTGGAGCCTCTTCAGAAACAGCTGAGTGAGTGACCTTGATGCCACTGACAACTCAAAAGTATAACTTCACCAATAGGAAAGAACTTAACCAAGAAAACCTCTTCCTCTAAACAAGAAACTTCCCAGCCTCCATACCACTGGCTGGGATAATCCTAAAATAACTGTATTATTCAAGAGTAGTTCATATGGCTTTTTTGAAATGCAGTCACACCATACTTAAAATTCAAAGTACTAAGGAAGTGCACTTAGGGTACTTAAGGTGCAAATCTAGTACTGCGTTGCTAAATATTACCTCCTCTGTGCTTAAATAATTCTAAGTAATATAGTTTCTCTAATGTTGATGTAAGTCCAGTTGGTTGGAAAGATTATACAGAATAAAGTAAGATTTTATCTTAGGGAGTTAATTCTCACTTGAATTATTAAGAATTTTTATATTTAAGTCAACTTCTTGTACAGCTTCTGCAGAATTACTGAAAGATTTTTCTGACTTTTGCCATTTTAACTGAACTGTTAAATTCAGTATTTTTGCTGTATCTTTGGCATTCTACTGAATAATTATTTCCTATTATCAATCAATCATTTATTTGATTGACGTGTAGTGTGAATTGCTTAAAGAGTTTCTTCCCATAGCAATAGATAGTTTTGTAGTTTTTCTACTAGTATCACACAGACCTTGGCACTAAACTTGGCATATCATACTTAATCTTACATATTGGAAAGGTAACACATTTAGTATTTCCACTGATAAAAACACAAGATATGTCTGTACAATGTTTTTTTTCTTAATCCTTGTAACTCAAATTCTACCATCTATCATTTATTAGGATCACCTGAGAAAACAAAGAAACCAGAAGCTCAAAACTACAAAATCTTTACTCACACCAAACTGACCGAGACATCAGCTTCCTTTTGTTACAGTTTCTTAATTCATCTCACCATCACCCAAACAATGTATCACAACAGTTTCTTAATTAGAGAAAGCCAAGGTTTAAAAAAAGCAGAATGATTCATATCTTATCATTACAGTTCAGTGTCAGGTGAGCAGATTTAAGTAATTATCACTAAAGCATTTAATACCTTAAATGACGAAAGTAGAAAACAAGTTCACAAAACTTATCAATACATTTCGGCTAAATGAAGCTAAAAACCTCTGGCTGAAAAATACAGCTTTATTGGTAACAGAAACAGAAGTTTTGCTGTTAATCCAGTCAGACTACAGCAAATCAATAAATTCCAAATGAGACTACTATTTTGTTACGGGGCAAATCAGATGTCAAATTGCATGAAATTAAGCCTCTTCCTGAAATTCTCTTTCTAAAAAGCAAATAATCCAAATTTTTAAGCTCTACTAAAATCATGCTCCCTGGCATGTATTTTTTTTAAAAAAAAAAAAAAAAAGATGATCAACCTTGTTCTCAGTGGCAATTCATAACAGCAACAAAATTAATTACATTACAAAGAAATTAACAATTTGTACATTACCTGATGCTGCTCATGCTTCCAGTTTCTGATCCAAGCTTACATCTCTCTAGCTGGCTAGCTACAATCTGACGTTCAGCCTCAAGTTCTCGAGTCAGTCTCTCGAACTGCAGTTCCTGAAAAAAATAAACCATTTGGTTTTACTTCCTTTGAGATTCTGAATTTCTGTACATAAAATTATAATTTGTTCAAGAACTGTTAGTATAGTATCTCATAGGAAAGCTTTTGGTTTTTCCTTTTCAAACCCATTCACAGTTCAGATTCCAGTGGTAACACTTATTCATTCATTTACCCTAATGATATATGTCATGGAATGAGACACTTTATCAGAAACAGAATTTCCAAATATATTAAACAATTTAGGCCTACATCAGAATCATTCATAGTTCATGTAGACCTCTTAGTAGCACACAAATGACTTAACAAGCTGATAGAAGTATGATCACAAGTAAGAATAATTTGTGGTACTTAAAAAAAAAAAGATGCAAAGTTCTGCAGATCATCACATGGTGACAAAAGCTTTTGTAGTCAAAAAAGACAACCATCACAGTACACCCTAGCAAAATAAACTAAATTGAAGGTGTGCTGATATGTACTGAGGGCAATTTAATTTAATTTCTGCATTCAATGATGCACAGAAGGTAAACTCAAGTAGTTTTAGACAAAAGCTGTGGTAAAAATCCTTCTGCTAATTGAATGTATTTCCTTTTATTCTGTCAAGAAAGCCAAACCAGTTCCACCAGGTAAGACTTATCCGCAAAGCTTAAAAAACTGAAGAGTTTTTTGTTTTATACAAAAGAGCTTATTTTTTTTCGATTAGAAGAAAAGTAAAGAAGTAAAGGCAAAACCAATACAAGTAAAATCCCCACTACACCACAAAGAGCTGCGTTTGCCACAGATGGCAGCAGTAGTTTTATCAAATACAAAATTGAGACACTTCTAGGGAATGAATGTTTGTTACAAATTTGCCAAATGTTGCTGTGGCTTCATTTTGGTTATAGTTACATGAAGTCATTTTCACATGTAAACAAAAACAGCTTTCTTGCACCTTTCCCTTGGGTTTGTTGAAGGCTGAAAGAGAAATATTTTTGATAATTCACTTGCTAAATCATTCCTGTGTCTACACAAATGCACCCACTATCTTTTTCTCCCTCTTCTTTCAAAAGCTCCCCTAATGGGGAGCTGTGAGAGAAAGTCCCTTGAATAACTCCACAGCAATGTCTTGCCTGGAAGAAAAACACCCCTGGAAGTAAGTTACATACACCAAGTGCCAGTGAAGAATTTGGTATTTGAGAGAAAGAAATAAATGGTTGGAGAGAAAAAGACTCAGAAGTTTTCCTCCTATCTGCTACCTAAAACCACTGACCAAGAAACAAAGGGTAAATGGAGGCATTAAACTTTCTGAATCTCTGGAACAAGGCAAACCATAACTTAAAAGGAAGAAGGAAATGGCTGGTGGTCGTTCTACCTAATTGAGCTGCATCAGTCCTCTCTGTTTCTCTTGTTACTGGCATCAAATAGCTTGGTGTCCTGAATTGTGAGTCCACACAGGTTCTGTACAGCAGGAAATAGGGTACTGTGTATACTTAAATGGCCACCGAGTATTGGACAAAGCCTACTAAATTCTGTATTTGCTATTCTAAGCAACACTACCCAGAGTACAAGAACACTATCGAGGCAGACTGATGTAAAGAGCAAAACATTGCTGCTCACTGAATGTTAATAGTGCATTAGTAATCACAGTTCATAAGAGTCTCTGCACATTTTTGTAGTACTCAGAAATTACTTTTTCAGTGTTATTTGTAAGCAGGACTATTAAAAAACTACCTAATAAAAATCACTTATTTCATATATGCCTACTTCACAGAGAGCATTTGTCTCTCCCTTAGTAGAATCAATTGTCCGAAAAAATGAAGAGACTGTTGGTCAATTTTTCAAGAGTCATTATTCAAATCCTGGCCTTGTTTGCATAAAATAATACCCTTACAGCAGAAAGGACTGTAACAGAAATATTAGTAAAGTTTTGAAGAATTTAAAATCAAAGTGGTATAGTGTTTGTTATGCATGCATGCTTCTGTCAAAGCATGTAAGCACTCAGAAATCCTGATAGTATAAAATGCCAAACAAAACCAAACAGAGCATTAAGTTTACTTTCAAAATAAAAGCAAAAGTTTTCACAGTTATTCTGTTCCACTGCACTGTTTCAGCTACTTGAATCTATTATGACAATGGTATTGATGCACATTCTGATGCTTAGTATATACATTGTCATCCAGCCAGCTTCACTTCCCGCCATGCCAGGTGTGGCAGGTCAGAGATGTTCTTTGTCATGGCCTACCAGAGGGCACTTTTCTACCCACCTAGTGAGAAAGTGCAGCTGTCCTCATAACCTTGCAAAGAGAACCTAAGAATCACCTTACATCTGCCTTTTCCCAGTCATGTAACTGATTCTGTCCTTTTATTCTAGTAGGTGTGCAAACAACCTCTGTCCAGCTCCCTTTAGTCCATGCGATCCCAAGTCAAATAAATATAGAAATGCCCCCAAACTTGTATTACTGAAATACATGAACAGCAAATATTCTTTTGTCTTTCTCTTCTGCTATCTGGAACAATCTCAAGGTCCTTTCCAACCATTGTATGATTCTGTATCTTCTCGTATATTTTCTATGTTTTGTATTTCTTCAGTTAAGCATTCCAGATGACTACTTTCCACACAATTCAGCATTTTCCTAACTTTTATGTCATGATTGCTTCACCTACAAAAGAGTTTTTGTTCATCTCCAAAATATACTCTTCTACTCTTGAGTCTGTCATTTATCTTTCCTTCCTACTTACCCCTTTCTGTTCTTTTCCAGATTCCTTCTTTCTTTTATTTCCTAGTATACTTCACGACTCATCCTCCACTAATATTTCAAGCCTCCTACGCAAATTACTACTCAAACAAATGTCCTAAAATCATCAGTTTTAACAGCCTCTCTTTTGGTAATTGTGCCCTTATAGATGGAACTCCGTTCTTAAGATATAGAAAGTGTAACATAGTTTCACTGCCCTCGCTATTCAAGTCCTACCCTGCAGAGATGACTGGAAAAGGACAGTTGTGTTTATGTTCCTCCTCCAGAAGGAAGCACAGACATGCTGGATCACTTCAGAAGAAAAATTCTCTAGGTTTCTAATGCATGAAAATGGCTATAATAGCTGAACAGTAACTTCATTACTAGCTTGATTTAATTGCTGCTGTTTCTCACTTAACTATCTTCTGTCAGGTGCTATCAGAAGTTAGAGATGGAAGGAAGGAGATGAAAGGAGGAGGGGTGGGATATGTGAAGGGGCAGAGCCAAACAATTCTTACCTCAGAATTATCTTCTACACTAAATTTAACAAACAACCATGTTAGGTAGTCCCTTGTATGATGGCAAGATTGCCTTTAGAATGAAAGAAGAAAAGAAGAACTCAAGCAAAAGTTGTGAAAGTCTTCTATCCCTCCATACCAAGAATCCCTGGCAGAAAACTAATTAATAAGCTTCCTTCACTTCATTCAGAAAGCAGTGAGACTGACTAATATTTGAATAAATCCATATGTTTAGATTTCAAGCAGCTGTCACAGTACCAGGAGACAGACACTAGAAATATTATTTGCTTACGTTTTATAAAAATAACTACTGAACCTGACTCCATCATTTGTCTTACTTATTCTGTTTACAGTCATTTTCACCAGTTCATGCCATGTTGTGTTATCTGCACAACCTTCTATTATTTGTCTGAATCAAGCTAATCGCAACATCAAAATTAAGAACAAATTCCTACCCATTGCTTATGCAAATCTGCTGTCAAGACAATTGCAGAATGAAGAACTGCAGAAACTACCTCACAACAGCAAAATTAGTTTAAGTAATGTTGTGTCAAGTGCAACTTCACAGACTGTGTTACACAGGGCAATAGTGCCAAAGCAAGTGCACATGCACAGGCACTACACTGTGAAATGACCAGTCTGGCAATCCTTGGCACCATAAAGGGTGTGGGAGTGGGAAACCAACAGAAAGATTAGACATAATGCTGCAAGTAATCCACAGAAATCACTCAAGAGAGCAGCTTGGAAAAGGAGGAACATCATGGTAATGTTATCAAAATGGTCTGAAGTGATAAAAAGACCATGTAACTGCTAGGGCCTGAAGAAATATATGCTTAAAAGTGGTGTTTGTTCACTACCATAAGTTTTTCTGTAAAAAATATTCATTATTCCATAGACAGCAATTGGACATATTCGCCTTTTCAGTACGATTTTTGTTTTATCTACCCTCTGCAGCCACTAAAATGTCAAACATTAAATAAGACGAGTCAGGTCATACATTTCACAGTGGTCCAGAAACTGAATAAGCCTGATTGAAAAGTTCACAGCCTGTGGACAAGGTTATGAACTCCTGAGCTCAGGGTACACCAAGTAAGAGGGTATTTGGTTATTGTTATGCTTTGTACCTGCCACGTGGTCTGTGTTGACCCATGTGAATGTTGGAAGGGTAAAACAGATCAAAAGATATTTGGCAGATACTCAGAATGGATCTCACTTTACTCTGTCCTTTGTAATCTTAAAGTAATCCTTCACTCCTTTCACACAGAGATGTATACTGATGCTGAGCAAAAGACACAGCAAAATCTGTAGAGACAGTAAAAAGCAGCTGATAAAAAAAAAATAAAAAATCTAAATTTCAGCTGAACAGCCTTATTGAATTCCCAAGAATCTTAAGGTCATAACATTAAAAGAAGTGTTTAGCTTTTGACTGTAAATACGCTACATAAAACCAAATTGTGCATTGATGATCATCTGAATCTTCAAATACAGATAAATAACAGCACTGAGGTAAGGCTGGGAATCCCTGGTGAGATGAATAGAGAAAGCCTGATTACAGCTACACAAACAAATAAATCATCTCCTGGATTGAAACCTCTCATAAGAGCATCTTAGAAACCACAGAACTTCCTAAAGTACATTGGCTGCAGAAATGCAGAACTCTGGTTCTAACTTGCTGTAACCTACTAAACCAGAAAAAGTGTACCTCAGTGTCACAGGTAATATGTGTATATTGCTATGCACATCCTATGGCATCCTGCATAATTCCAT